TCTCTCTCTCTCTCTCTCTCTCTCTCTCTCTCTCTCTCTCTCTCTCTCTCTCTCTCTCTCCCTCTTTCTGTCTCTCTCGCCTTTCTCCCCCTGTAAAATTAAATTTGTGATCTCCACAGTTCAGGCAACAGTGGAAAAGTTCGTAGTTGTTAAAGTGACAAGCATGTGTTATGTTATCACTGTGAACTCTGCGATTAGACGTAGCAATAGTCTAAACAGATGGAAATCGTCTGCTTCAGGGTTAATGCAGCTCAGATTCATACGCGCAAAATGCTATTAGTCGCAATGGCGTTGTTCAGCAAGTAAGCCTGTTGCTAAATAAGTCTCCATCCTCGGACTATACTGCCAATGGTCCAGGGACACTCAGACCCAGTGTAGGTAACATAGTACTATAGTAACAGTAGTACTATACGAAAACGGAAAACTTCAAAAGCTTTAACCCACTGCTAAGTGCATGTGCTGTCTTGGTCATTGGCACTTCTCTAGCCAGAAACATTTCTAACACTCCGGTAATTGAGCGAAGTAGAGCTACTATTGCTGGTTCTTTTATATATGCAGTTACTTACTGTTTCAACTGCCTGCAGTCGGTACATTTTCACTGCTACTACCAATGATTTTTACATTGTCACGTTCAATGAAGAGGAACCATCTATAAACTGTGGCACTGTTCTGCACATTGTATCCCTAAATTTGCACTGGCTTCATTATTATTATAATTTTTTATTTATTTATATATTGCGTCTTTTTACATGAAATGATCAAAAGTGCAGCACATCGATATCGCAAACGACTGAACAATAAAAAGAAATGATAATAAACATGTACATGTGAGATATATCACTACAGCTGCGAGATACAGTGATATAAAGTTGACTATGTAATCACTAAGTAAGATAAAATCCTATACATAAAAGCCAATTTAAAGCGATAACAATATTAGAATTAATACATATATATATTTTATTTTCTGTAGCGTGGCAAGAGGAGAGTAGAGTGAAGCCCACATTCCCTACAGGCACAACAGTGACATCAACATCATCACCATCATCATCATCAGTAGCATCGCCAGTAACAGGAGGAGGAGAAGAAGAAGCAGGCAGAGGAGGAGGAGGAGGAGGTTAGACTAGACAATTTTATGCCAGATAGGCACTAAGCATGGCTTCATTGCTAGTTCTTTTTTTTTCTTTATCCTTTAGGTCCCCTGATGGGACATAAGGCCATGCTTCATTGCTAGTCCATGTTTTTTTTGTTTCCCTCCAACTTGGTTAGTTATATATGGCCTAAAAATTATGCAGGTGGTGAAAACTAGAACGATGTCCATATCATGATATGGATGCTGAGACTCTCTTTTTGAAGCTAGCTTGTAACAATGCAGTGATGTTTTAAACACCCGAGAAATGATGGAGAATGTCTGTGTATGCAGGGCTGCCAACATTGGGTGATAGGCGAGAGTGAGATGCGAGGGAGCGAAGCGACCGAGTGGGGGGTGGGTGTGAGAGGGGGTCCCCCCCTCCCACGGTAGGGAGCTTTTGCATTTTATAACTTCAATTTGTGCAAGTTGGTGCATACTAAAGTGACTGTTTTCAGATATTGTAAGATTTTTTTTGCTGTGCGTGAGATATCTCAGCATTTTTTTGCTGTGCGTGAGATATTGTAAGATCAGCGTGAGAGCGTGAGATTTGGTCAAAATGCGTGAGTCTCACGGTCAATGCGTGAGAGTTGGCAGCCCTGGTGTATGAGTAAACGTGACACCGATCGTGTGTTGTGTTGTGTTGTGTAGACGCCTCTTCGCCCACAAACACAACACCTCCGAAGAAGACCTTCACCCTGTCTGCATACGCTGCCGAGTTCGTTCCAAGATACATGCAGACAAACACGCCTGATGAATTTCAGGTACATTAGTATTTCATTTATATATTGATTAATATATATATATATGATAATTATTTTGTATTGACTTTGTATCAAGTTCTTTTCGGTCAGTTCGTCAGTCGGTCTGTCAGTCAGTCAGGCAGTCATTCGGTGACAATGGTGACGGTCAAATGGTGGTGACGAACGACTGACTATTAATCCTAGTGACCGAAACTCAACGAGGTAACAAATCTAAACGGCAAACGAGAATCGTAGTCGACCGTGAAAAAAAAAACCGTCGTCGAACCCGTGCGATTACGATCGCGAAACTCGCGCGAGTCCTTCGCTAACGCTCTCTTGTTTCGTCTAGGCGGAAGAAGACGACATGTTCGCCGGTGACCCGGCGTGTCGACAGATGGCCGAGGTCATCACGAAGCTGACGGTGAACCCGGGAAGCTTCTACGACCTCGTGAACCCGCTCATCGACTCACTGAACGCCCACGCCGAAACGGAGCAGTCGCTGCAAATCTGCGTCGACCTCGTCATTGATCAGGTGCGCGCTTAGTGTAGTGTTGTCAATCGGTTGTAATTTCGTAATCGATTATCGGTTGGACCCAGGTAACCGATGATCGGTTACAATCGGTTACTCGGGGGGTTGAAGGCCTGCGTGTGCGTAACGTCGTGTGCATGTACGTGTGTGCATGTATGTGCTTGTTTAGCCCTGTTTACTGTTTGTTTTGCACTGTTTACTACTGTGTGTATAATACATGTATGTTAATAAAGGATAACTTGTATAGTAGCGATGATATCTCTGATTCTCATCACTTTTCCAAGTTTTCTTGTTCAAGTTTTACATTTATTTCAATTTATTTTTATTTTTTTTTGATGAAATTGATTATGGATTTTGATAACCAAGCGCTTGGTTTGAGCCACTGTTCAACCGATGATCGAGTATAATCGATGATCGTGACATCACTAAGCGCTTGGTTTGAGCCACTGTTCAACCGATGATCGAGTATAATCGATGATCGTGACATCACTAGCGCTCACGCGTCCGGTCGTTGCGTTCGCGACTCGCTACATCACATCAGGGCTTAGTAGTGACAAATGTGTCGTTGTTATTTGTTCACTCACGCTCGTGCCCGGGTTGTTAGCGACTTGTTACGTTACATATCATGTACACATATATACGTATACACGACATGCGCGACGTGTTACGTTACATCAGTAGTTAATAAAGACAAATTGTCTTTATTAACTCCTGGTTACATGTCATCAGGAATGTATAATATAGATCGTCTGTAGATATAGATAGTCTAGATAGAGATATAGATAGAGATAGAGATAGAGATGATATAGATAGAGATAGATATAGATAGAGATATAGATAGATATAGATATAGATAGAGATATAGATAGATAGAGATAAAGATAGATATAGATAGAGATATAGATAGGATATAGATATAAACTCCTTATATCATCATATATCATGTCATATTAACGTTATTACCTCCGCCCAACAGAGTTGGAGGAGGTTATGTTTTCGCTCTCGTGTGTTCGTGTGTTAGTGTGTTCGTGTGTTCCTGTGTTCGCGCGATCGATATTAGCGCGTCGAGGCGTATGGCGTATGTCGTTGGCGGTCGATCGATATCACCCAGCGAGCCAGCGAGTCAGCAAGCCAGCGAGGCCAGCGAGCCAGCTCGTAACACATACATGTTACATGGGAGCGTGTACATGTCAGTACGCTGGCGTATATCGTGGCTTATTTGTGTGTTCGTGAGTCGTATGGCGTATGTCGTCGGCGGAGGTATGCACTCCGTGAGTGCACTCTGTCTAGTTTAACTCGGATTTGTGTCGGATTACGTCTGCGTCGATGTCTACGTTTGTCCTGGACATCGTGCCGTGCGTGCGGGATGTTGGTGTTTGTGAGGTTTGCCGACTTGTACGTTTTTTAATAATTACGTTGACCGTGAAGGTGAACGTGAATTATTTAGAATTTTTTTGTTTTATTGTTGAGTGACTGTTTATTATTGACGTATGCATCCGTGTGTGGGTTATATAATATAGTTATATAGTTATATAAGTGGTGTTTATGACTTGGATGTTTTAGTCGAATCTTTTACTAAAGCCCGGCGCACATGTGAGTTATTTTACTCAAGTAAAATGACGCATGAGTCAAATTACTCAACGAAAATCCGCCGCACACGTGAGTAAAATGACACATGCGTCAAATTACTCAACGAAAATCCGCCTCACACGTGAGTAAAATGACTCATGCATCATTTTACTTGAGTAAAATAACTCACGTGTGCGCCGGGCTTTAGATGAAACGTTTGAAGGGTTGAAATTTATACTCGATGTGCATCCATACAATGTAAATAGTTCTAAAAACTAAAACTGGGTACATTGAGTTGTGTGTGACTAGGTAAAAAAATTGACCATGCCTTCAAATCTCCTTTGTGGGTCAGTAGTTAGTAAAGGTTGTCTATAATAAGTGATGTCCAATCTTTTATTTAGGCAATTATGGAACCAAACTTTACGTACACTGGAGCAAGGCTATGTGATCATCTGTCAAAACACCTTCATGTTAAAGTTGCATCGGGCAACTTCAGACAACTGTTGTTAGCAAGGTTAGTTTCTTTAATAATAAAAATGGTACTTTTTTTCATAAAATATATATTATATTTATTGTATAATTTTCAGTATGATTACACTTGATCAACGATTTGCCACACGAAATTTAATGATAAAAATTTAAATTTCATGTGCAAGGGTTTCACTACTTTAACACTCGTTTGCAGGTTACATTTGCAGTTTAAGAAGAGAGATGAACTGATGGCAAACGAATCAACGATACATCTTGTACAGGGCCTGTTGGTGTTTCTTGGAGAACTGTTTACGCAGATGGAGGTATGAATAAGTTGTTATTGTACTGCTTAAGCGAGAGATAAGAAATAATAGGCTGTAGCATTTTTAGTTTTCTGATTTTTGGTCTTTTCATTTGAATTTTAAAAATAATTTTTTTTGTATATTGTAATATGTAATGTAATGTAATATGTATGTAATGTAATGTTGTTTTTTAATGTTAGGATTATTCGGGATGGTGACACATTTTAATGCATCATTATTTAAGTTAATTATCTTACACATTTTTTTTAATCAGACAGCATTATTTATCGTGAAATTTGGCAGAGCATGTACTTTAAGTCATCGGGTGTTTTGCTACTGATTGTTGTTGATTCATCTGTTGCACTATGTACACTGCTTCAATTACACACACAAACACCGCACATGCAGACGTGTAAGCAAATACGTGAACGCGTGCCGCACACGCACGCACACACGCAGCCGAGTGAGCAGACGAGCACGCAAACACTCACACATGATATCAGTATCACGGTCGACGTGTATAGCATGTATTCATGTCTCGGCTCGTGAAAGGCGTCGAGTGAGACGCGTGCGCGTGCGTGCGTGCGTGTGCGTTTTCGCGCCGCTACACGCCGGCTCGCGAAATTATTTTTCCCACGCGAGTTCCGGATACACCATAGATAGTGTTTGGTACGATGTGTTTGTATATAAGCGTGTGAGTCGGTTTGAAGTTAATGTGTAGGGTTGTATAGAAGGTGACATTTGTTTCTTTTTTCATTGTTGCTTCGAGGAAGTCGAGTGAATAGAGTGCGCTGATTGGCTGTGTTCCGGAACTCGCGTGGGGAAAAAAATTGTCCCGCCGCTCGCGTAACACGCCTCGAGCTTTTACAGAGCTCACAAAGTCGCGCGCGAGCAAATCGTGTGCGCTGCGCGCGTGTTTTGCTGTCGCCGACGATGGACTGTATATCAAAATTGTTATCATAGTGATTGGATCCCCCTGCCGTGGCTGGCAGAGCCACGGGCACGCGCGCGCGCGCGCGAGAGAGAGAGAGACAGAGAGAGAGGAGCGGCCTCCGCTCTCTAACATGTGCGCTGCCCCGCCGCATTTGCTCCCAGACGAAATTCCGCGCATTGCAGCGCGTAACGCGCGATCTTTCGCTTTGTAACTAAGACACTGAAAAAACCACTTGCGCGATCTGGAGCTGGCATTCCGCGTCTTTCTTCGGGATAGCGTTACGTAAGCTCTCATTAGATGGGTATGTGACTGGGAGCGGGCGGCGTGCATGCATGTGCTTGACGCGCTGAGGGAGAGGGGTGGGATTACGGAGGTGGGAGGATGAAGAGAGTACTGAGCAGGAGCCTGATTGAGACTGGCAGAGAAGGGAACGAGGGAGTTGTACGGGAGGCTATTATGAAACGTCTCTGAGAGAGAAAGAAATAAATGAAGGAGAGGGAGAGATTGGCAGAGAAGGGAACGAGGGAGTTATACGGGACGTTATTATGAAACGTCTCTGAGAGAGGGAGAGATGGGTAGAGAAGGGAACGAGGGAGTTATACAGGGAGGTTATTATGAAACGTCTCTGAGAGAGGAAGAAATAAGAGAAGAGGGAGAGATGGGTAGAGAAGGGTACGGGGGAGTTATACAGGGAGGTTATTATGAAACGTTTCTGAAAGAGGAAGAAATAAGAGAAGAGGGAGAGATGGGTAGAGAAGGGTACGGGGGAGTTATACGGGACGTTATTATGAAACGTCTCTGAGAGAGGTAGAGATGGGTAGGGAGGGAACAAGGGAGTTCTAACGGGGCGTTATTATGAAACGTCCTGAGAGAGGAGCAGATGGTAGAGAAGGGTACGGGGGAGTTATACAGGGAGGTTATTATGAAACGTTTCTGAAAGAGGAAGAAATAAGAGAAGAGGGAGAGGATTGGGTAGAGAGGTATCGGGAGTTATGACGGGACGTTTTATTATGAACGTCTCTGAGAAAGGAGAAGATGGGTAGAGATAGGTACGGGGAGGTGTACTAAGGGTAGGTTATATTAAACGTCTGCCTGAGAGAGGGAGAGATGTGTAGAGAAGGGTTAACGGGCGGAAGTTATATCAGGGAGGTTATTAAAAACGTCTCTGAGAGAAGGCGAGAGATGGGTAGAAAGGGGTACGGGGGAGTTATACAGAGTTATTATTGAAACGTTTCTGAAGAAGGAAAAATAAGGATAAGAGGGAGAGATGGGTAGAGAAGGCGTACGGGGCAGAGTTATACGAGGACCGCTTATTATGACACGGAATCTCTGAAAGAGGGAGAGATGGGCTAGAGAAAGGGTACGCAGAGTTATATCAGGAGGTTATTATGAAACGATTTCCTGAAAGAGGAAGAAATAGACGAAGAGAGGAGGAGATGGGCTAGGGAAGGGAACGGCAGCGATGTTTCTACGGGGCGTTTATTCACGAAACGTCTCTGAGAGAGGGAGAGATGGGTAGAGAAGGGAACGAGGGAGTTATACGGGGAGGTTATTATGAAACGTCTCTGAGAGAGGGAGAGATGGGTAGAGAAGGGAACGAGGGAGTTCTACGGGGAGGTTATTATGGAATTTTTGTAGGAGAGGGTGAAATAAGAGAAGGAGAGGGAGAGATAAGAGAAGAGAGAGAGCAAATATTGCAAACTTAATATATGAAGCTCTTGAGAATTTATTAAGTAGGAGATATTATTGATGGATCCATAAGAACTCAACAATAAATAGAAATCGATATCTTAAACAAATTGCCTGTAAGTCTAAACATTTCCATAGACTCCCATCTGCATGTACTTTTTCACTGTCGTCTCGTGGGCTATGTTTTCATTATTCCCGCCACTGTGTGGTTCCAGCTTCAATATTTGTAAAGACATCATTTCTTTAATATAATATAACCTTTGTCATGGAAACTGGCTCCACGCTGTTTCAATGCTTCTGTACATGTATAATTACACCCTCGTATAAACCATATATATACATAAACGTATGTTAGTGCGTTAAGTTCAAGAATAGAGGATCGAGAATATATGATTAAATAGTCGATCGAGATCGAGGATATAGTTATCAAGATACTGACTGAGAGTTTCCACGTGAGGTTTTCGTCTGTTTGTGATCATTAATCAAGGGTGAACATAACGTTGTTGGTTCTACCTTCTACATCATCAGGCTGAGTTGAAAAGCTCACCGTGGTTCGGTTCAAAAATTCCATTATTTTAGTACCAAGGGCTTGTTGTCAGAAACAAAAACTAGTCTGAACATTAGTCTTAACATGAAGTAATTCTTGTACACCAGATCTCTTATACGCTGTGTATGAGAAACTTGTAACTTTGCCATGTTTCTGTCTATGGTCTAGTAATGTTGAGACTAATTTAGTTTCTGACGACTGGTCCCAGCTTTACATGCTTTTCTGCAACAATCCCTTGTGAGTGGCACCAGCAGAGAAGAATAATAAGCATCGTCTACACGAGGAAATCTGTCTCGGCTTAAGCGTCTAGATGAGGTCTTAACTCGAGTTGAACCTTAACCCGAGTCAAGACTCGTGTAGATGCGCGCGAAATCGTTAACCCGAGTTAAATCGTTAGCCTGCTGCTAGCTGGCGTTTGTCAGTCAAGGTTTGCCAGCTCTCTAGAATGATTGTTAATCAAGTGTACAGTGTATTGTACTACACATACGATTGCATTGTTATTCCAGGTTGTGAAAGACGGACGCTCCCAAAAAATAGAACTATTTTATGCCGCAATTAAAAATGTGATAAACACGTTGCTAACGCAGCCAAACGACAGCAACTTGGTGTGCGTTGCACGAGTGTTAAAGGTAGGAGCCTTCCTTGAACTCCCTCTCCGAATATGCTCTGAAACTTAGCTCCTTATTTTGAAATGTCAGATACCTCATGTTATTATGGTCCACGTGTAAATATCTAAGCATGAATATCTGTGTGTGTTCTACTCAAACCTAGAGTGTAAATCTGGAGTGATTCTATTTGCAGATGACAGGGGCAGGGCTAGAGGATAAGGAGAGAGAGTTAGTGGGAGCACCACTAACTGAAGCACAAGATTCACTCGATGCCATATTCCAGCACATTAAGCAGCTAACGATGGAGACCAATGTATCGATGTGCGTGGGTCATTACGGCCACCTCAGATAACTTGGCCTTCACTTAATTTTAATTTCTAATTAAAATTACCGATTCTAATTTTTGTTCCCAGTTGGATTTCACGTGACGGGGGAAATTATGCCAGATCTTCTTCATTTGCATTTCATAGTGATCTGTAGCTTACTTAGCATTTCTAGCTTCTCTGCTTTATGAATGACATATGTGTTGCTCGAACAAGAAGTTAGCAATAGGATTTGCAACAGCACACAGTTCACACTGATCGTTTATGTATAATGTATGACCGTACGTTGCTATTGTGCTGTGCCCCATTCTACTTGTTGTGTGATTGTTTGTCGGTTTTTTTTCTTTGCTAGGCGAACAAAGAGCCTTCTGGGTAATGTGATAGATCTGAGAGCAGCTGACTGGGGTCGCACTCCGGGCTCCCCAGCCGTGAACGCTGACATGTCTCCACCTATCGGAGAATTCGCATCTGTAAGTATCGCCGAGTAGAAACGTGTCTCTACCTATCGGAGATTTCGCATCTGTCAGTATCGCCGAGTAGAAATGGAAATGTATGAGCTCGGCACGGGCGTACTTGTATACTCGTGTGCATGTGTTTATATTCGTGGTTAGGTTACACCATTTTGAGTTGAGATATCTATTCAATGAGATATCCTATTTCTTATCTTTGATTATTATTTGTGGCTAGAATTTGCAATGCAGTTCAGAGGTTTTTCAAGTAAACGTCACGTGCGTGAAGCTCAAGTAGAATGTTTGACGCCTGATTGATAAATGTATATCATTTTACCTCCTATTTCACTTAAAAGTTGGCTTATAGCTTGTTCGAGTAGACTAGTTCAGAGTGAATTCTGGAGACGTTTTTGAGTATCACGCACATCACTCAGATGATCACTCAGAACTTGTTGTTCCTTTTTTCAGAACGTCCCAGTATTTTACAACACAGATGGCAGCACAGTTCCAATAGAAGATATGGGATACTATTATGACAGTGAAGTTGGCGACTATGTGCCTTATTCCTCGGAGGATGGCAGTGAGAATTCTGCTCTTTATCAGAATGAAATGTACGCAAGTAGATTGTATTGTTATGCCCCAGATGGCCTTACCTGTCATTTTTCTCAAGCCTAGCTATTTCTTTCATTTGTTTCATGTTTCCTTTAAAGGCTATGCATAACTGGCCGAGATTATATCCATTTTTAGACATTAAATGAAGAAGGCAAAGTGATAGTTGTGTTAATGTGTAAAAAGTAAATGCTGTTACCTCATTCAATAAAATTCTAAATTATGTGTGGTTACAGTTGTGATGCTTATGTGTGACAACATCTGTTGATATGTCTAAATAATTATGTAGATGTGTGTCTGTAAGTATAGGTGTATTACATATGCTTGATAATCGATGATAGGTAGCATGTGGTTCTATTTATTTTTTTTATATTTTTTTTACAGGGGTCCAGATTTGCAGGAGGTTTTTGACGATATAGATGATGAAATAGCGAGTGATTACGAGAAGTTCATGATGGATTCGCAGAAGTGAAACAGCTGTCCAGGACGCAAGTGCATAGATCAATCTTCTCTCTCTTTAAAGTGCAATTCATAGCAAACCAAAATCAAAGAAAAAACCCACCAACGTTTTTATATTTTTGCAGTATTTCCATAAAGCGGCTAAACACTTTTTGCATACTTTACATTTTTGCATGAACCTGTTACTGAATGTAGCCTATTGCAAAAAAATGCCAGCGGATGGAAAATGCACGATTAAGGGAATGTACCGCTTCATCTACGTAATTAAGGATGATTTTACATGATGCCGTTTTGTGTGATATACGTTTGGATCTAAGACAAAACAAAATTCATTATCACTTTGATAGCATTAGAAGGTGATTTGACTTTGATTTGCTACAAATGCAGGTTTATACCGAAAGACAAATTTTAATCAGGTGAAATGAGTGAATATTCCATTGGCGTTTCTTTGCCATACATTCGAATGGTGTATTTTTAGGATTATAGGTAGCAAATTATTTTGAATAATTATTTTTGGCTGTGGTATATTTAAATCATTTTATTTCGTTTTTAGAAAATGGATGGGGAACAATTTTAGATGACAGGCTCATTTTTAGATGATTAAGAAGACCTCAGATTGTGTCTCAGCGATGCTTTTATGGCCACTGACTGAATTTGGGTGGGGAGGTCTTCATAATTAGTGAATTAGGATAAATAATTTTATTGTTAGTACTGGTATGGGAAGTTATTCTGAGTAAATTGTGAATCCCTTTTCCAGAGCTTTAAGCTCAGGACAGAGGTTTGTGTAGAACTGGTAACACTTGTTTCCTTCTGACGTCACGGACCTTGGCAGTGATTTCTGTAACTTGGTAATGATATGTAGACAGTAGAAGATTTGTGCTCGTGGATTTTACATGACCTTCTCCACAGCCAATGTGTATCACGCCAATTAAGAAATGCCTGGAAATGCACGCAGGTTGAATACCGACCGAGATGTCTATGGCACCTTGCTAGTGTCATCTATGGTCCTGATACATCGTACAGGTTCGCTTATATTCAATTTCTGTGCTATTCAAATTTCATGATCTAAGGTGACTGAGTCCATTTATTGCAATAGTTGGGACTGAAAGAACTTGCTCACTTGCGTAGGGTCTTATAAATGGTTGTTCGTGGGGTGGCGCACTGCCATGTTTTGTGATGAGTACCTACTCGTCTTTCTACACTAGTTCCTGCTCACCAAGTCTGTTGTCATTCGTTCCAAACGTGCTCATTAATGGTTTCTCTTGTTTCCAAATATTATACATGGTGGAGAGCCAAGCGAGCAGATAAGGAGGGCAAATTCAGTAATGGCTACATATTACTAACGACTGAAATCTGTGATTATTGTTCTAATACACAACGACAATCTGGTTTCGATCCAGTGATGGTTAATCATTTCTGAGACATTTAAAATTTGGTATAAAGATTATTATTCCTAAAACTCGATAGATAGGTTGTGGTTACCAACCATGAACAATACTCATTTAGGTTTTATATATTTTGTCAGCGAAATGCACAGACAAATATAAATGAGCTGTTTCCTAATAGCTGTGCTTTATAACTTATTTGCTTTTTAACCAGTTGATGCTTAGAAAATCTTCCTGTTCGTCTGTATTGACTCTTTTTAACAATAACCTTTGTTTTCACCTGCTTGTGCGAGTTCCATGGCTTAACTACATGTATAGACGTAGTTGCTTATAAACAGGATAAATGATGTACAAAGTGTAAAAAGGGGATAAAATTAAAAAAAACAGGGTAATAAATATATGTAATTGAGTAATGAATTGGATGGTGACTGTATTCGGTGGTGCAGGTTTTATCCTACGATCGGGTTTTGTGTCTGTTAAATGGTGTTCAATGGTCGTTTCTATGTTATTAATGTTACAGAAATGCTCATTGGGGCATGACTTCACTCTAGTTAGTAAAAACCTTCCATGCACTACGTAGTACAGAGAAGCCTACATTACCTAGAGCTAAGCATGACAATGTTACAGACATGCTTCTTATTTCATGTATATGTTACAAATGTGCCAGCCATAAAATGCCCATGTTACCTAGGTGTGCATTGATTGCTTCAATGTGCCCCCCCCCTCCTTGCTACAAACTGCCAAGACTTCATTATTATCATAGGACAGAGGGTATTTCACAGGTACCCCAAACACCAGGAAAATGTCATGTTCTCCATATAGCTTCTTGCCCATCTCCATGTTGCTCCCACTGACTTTTTTAACAATCGTGCATTTATTTGGAAAGATCTCAAACGCAGTGTTACCTCTCCCGTCCATCACCCAACCTCTGCCAAACGGCAGTTTGTAATTTCTTGTTAGGCGAACGCAGTATGCGATGGCTTTGTTATATTAAGCAGAGATATGATACTTTGTGTACATTTCTGGTAGGTGGCAATCACATAAAAAACTGCAGAGAAGGTATTGTGAGATAGCCTTAGAACTATAGCCATTCACTCTGCCACAGGTGCCTGTGGCAGAGGGAAGGGCTATAGTTCTAGAGCTAATTGTGAGACAGCTAGGAAAAATTTTAATGGTTCCGAGGGTGTTAATATCAACTTGTTTCTGTATGCGACTTGCACTCTGGTGGGTTCGTTATATTCGAGCAAATAGCAGAAGTGACTAGCTGTCGGTTTAAACATAGATATATACAACACATATATGTGTTGTATATATCTATGGTTTAAAGAATGTTGACATCTCGATTCTAGTTATGTTCAGCATGCACCGTGAAACATGCCAGCTTGTAATCAATTTAAGTAACTAAGCTGTGTATATCCCTCATTCCTCTACTCTAGATGCGCTGTGTGGGCAACCATTTTTATACTAGTTTTTAAAAGTAAAATGATGTGGAAGAACTGAAGAATGTACCTATATTTATAGCTTTTGTGTTAAATAAAGTTTGGGATAAAAACCTCAATTGTCATTTATTTTATATGTACTGGTCCACTATGAATTGGCATAAATTGCATGACACCAACCTAGATGGAATCTACCCAGTCTAGTGCAAGCTGTGGACCTGTCAACATTCATATGCCTTTCAGTATTTGTTCAAATATGAATTTTTAAGTAGCGAAATGGCAAAAAAGTTTGTTTTTCTATATTTTTCATCGCAGGAGCGAGTTTGATAGTCCCTCGTACAGACGTGCTAGTAATTGAAAGCATGTCTTCAGCAAAAGATTGTCTGATGAAGCTTTTAACTAGAACAGTTGTAGTTGAAGAATGATTACAGAACAATAGAGGGCGCCACTATATGCTGGTTACATGAACATCAGTAATACGTAGGCGACTACTCTCTTCTACGAAGCAAAACGTAATCCTTAACGCGGAGGTTACTGTTGCTGTTGTTGTGCAGAAAACGAGACACATAGGCAAAAAGTGGGACGTGTGTGTGTAGAATGTGGCTTTATTTAAAATAATACCCAGTTCAATTTAACATTGTACATAATTTATAGAAATAAATTTCTAAAAAGTGCTAGGCATCAGTCAAGCATTCACTCTCAATCACCGTTTTCCTTTCTTCTTAGACTTTTTGGTCTGTCTACTGGCATCTTTCAATTGTGCGTGCCCGGATTCTTTTATATGGGCAAAGAGTTTGTTGCGGGTGGAGAAGTTGTTTTTACAGACGTAGCACCATCGGTCCTTGTCTTCCATTTCTGACTGCATTGAGAAATTACATCGAATTAACACACAGAGAACACTTCCATTTTAAGAGGATCACATTACACTAGCAATCAATAGCCAAGCAACTACTTAATTAACTAAGAAATTAATAAACTATAGCAAGCTTCACTTTTTTTGCTTTCACGTCTTTAGCTGTGAGAAACGGTGCAATTTTTTTCTGTATAACACAGTATGTACATACATTTGGAGATGGCTCTGCTATTTTGTGTTTGGCCCGATCAGATTTCTGACTGCTTTCCGTTCCATTGTTCCTAATACAGAGCAAGAGCAAAAATTAAGTGTTTAAATAAAGTATAACTGAATACATAAGGATACATTTCTCTTTATTCAATATAGATATTAATAAACGGATGTTTGAGCTGAAATTCTAAACAATATCATAATTATTCATTATCAGTTAATTATTTTCAATTGATTTTAAAAAGTATATTGTAAACTAGCAGCAGCTTTTGTCACGGGTGCACTCCAGGTGACAATTAGATAGTTGCCTTATGTACCTTTCTCCAAATGCACTGGATGTCACATCCTTATCTGTAACCAATACTTGTGTTGCAGTTGCTTCCCGATTGCCTTCTCCGTTGCCTCCCACTGCATTTGTTGCCACGTCGATTTGGTGTCCTTCCTTTTCAACGTTTTCCGAATCACATTCCACTAGCTTCTCACTCTCTTCCATCTGTTTCTGCCTCTGTCTGGATTTCTTTTTCTGTTTTTTACTACGCCTGATTGCAAAATTGTTAGCGTGTTAGGAATTGCGTTACCAAGTATTGACGTGTTAATTCTCATTGGCACATAGATGATATCTTTGCATTACTTTTGTTGTTACAGCATCTCTCATGGCAAATCTCTATATATATATACATATATATAAAGTCATTGAAGTGCAAAAAATCCAATATAATATCTACCATAGCTTCATTTCCAATAACCTAACATAATATCAGAGGACAATGTAGAAAAGATGAACCCTGTTATATGAAGAAGAAAGAACAGAGTAGGTTGGCTAACTTGTAAATTGTTTGCATTCAATCTGGCAATAGGAATAGTAGGTACACTAGTAAGTGATAGGCCTACTTCATATTTACCTCTTTTTCTGGGTATCATCCTCAATAATTTGCATGTCATTTCCAAATGCTCTGGCCACCTCTTCATCCTCCACTAAATCGTCTGGGTCGAGGACGACATTTACATTTTTCTGCTTCTTTTTCGCACGTTTCTTTTGCAAACTGAAAAAATAGTACTTGATTTTATGACAAGGTAATTACATACAACATGAACAACTAACGCTAGATACATGTGCCAAAGCATAAAAACTTTGCACTTGGCTTGTCAACCTATCTATCTATCTATATAACTATTAACGTAAATATATGACCTATACATCTATCAATCTATTACTAGTCTATCATATATATTTATGGTTCTAGGACAAATACCCCCATGCCATTCACCCCCTGGACAATTACTCACTTATTGTTTATTATTCATTGTTGAACAGTGATACAGGGAGGAGGTCGAGGAGGAGGGAAGAAGGTGGTGGAGGGGGAGGAGGGGGAGAAGGTGGAAAGAAGGTGGTGGAGGAGGAGGAGGTGGAGAAGGTGGGGAGAAGGTGGTGGAGGATGAGGAGGGGGAGAAGGTGGAAAGAAGGTGGTGGAGGAGGAGGAGGTGGAGAAGGTGGGGAGAAGGTGGTGGAGGATGAGGAGGGGGAGAAGGTGGTGGAAGAGGAGGAGAGCAGAGCCACCCGGTGAGAAAGAAGCGGAGCAGGAGGAGAGGAGGTGGAGGAGGGGGAAAACGTGGCGAGAAGGTGGTGGAGAAGGAGAGGGAGAAGGTGCGAGGAGGAGGAGGGGGAGAGGAAGGAGGAGAGGAGGAGGAGGATGGATGGAGGAGGAGGAGGGAGAAGCGTGGGGAGACGGTGGTGGAGAAGGAAGGGGAAGGAGGAGAGAAGGGGAGAGACGAAGGTGGAGGAGTAAGGAGAGTAGAGGAAAGGGCGGCAGGGTAGCGGCGCCAGGGGCAGGTGTGGTGGAGGAGGAAAGGGAAGAAGGTGGTGAGGAGAAGGAGAGGAGGTGGGGAGGTGGAGTGCAGAGAAAGGTGGTTGGGGAGGAGGAGGGGGAGAAAGGATGGAGGAGGAGGAGGAAGGAGGTGGAGGAGGGAGGAGGTAAGAGAGAGGGCGGCCTCTAGGCCTCGCTTCTCTCCTCCTCCCTCATGCACTTCTTCCCTCCCGCTCCTCTTCCTCCTCCCTCAACGCTACCACCTGCACTCCTCCTCTCCCACCTCTCTACTCCTCTGCCTCCACTACCTCTCCGTCGTCCTCGATAAACAACCTCGCTCTATAGTGTAGTGTAGTGTAGTATAGTATAGTATAGTATAGTGTAGTGTAGTGTAGTATGTGGATAGAATTTCTATGAAGTGCAATAATGACATTGAATTTTACATTTCTATGCTATTTTCATCATCCTCTATGTCGTCATCTTCCAATTCTTCATCCTCATCCAGATTTTGAAGTTCATCATCCTTGTCTAGATCTTCCATCTGTGTTTCTACATCATCTATGTTTTGTCCCTCTGCCTGTGTTTCGGCGAGTTCTTCATCTTCTGCTTCCATTTCGGCTTTAAGTCGCGCAACCTTCTCTCTGTGCTTCTTTGATTTCTCATGGTTGGCAAACCTAAACATTACAAATGATGTAACAATCAATTATTATTTTCGTAAATAGGTAATCGATTGCACGTGTCTTCATGGCACCTAAAAAGTGCTACTCTGCTGGAAGGAGTTGGTCGGTCGTGTTAGAAGTTGATGAGAAATACGTACGCCTTATCGCTTTGAAATGCTTTGTTGCAGGCTACACAAAAGAGACTATTGTCATCTTCTTCCTCTTCCTCCTCCTCGTCTTCCTCATCAAGACCTTCTTCATCATCCTCCTGACCTGCGTCATCTGTTTCCATAAATCAGTATCAATTTTAGTTTATCCATAATTTTTTTGTCTCTCGGCTGTTACATGCACACCCGCACGCACGCACGCACACACATATTTTGGCATATATTGGTATATATAAACACATATATATATATATAACGACCCCACTTGAGTGCGACTAATAATGCGAAGGAAGAAAAAGATATACATATATATATATATATCAGAAGTAGATAATAGGAAATCCCTATTATCTACTTCTGATATATATCAGACACACATACAGATATACATTTCACGTTTAATAATTGTGAAATTTTCCCACTCACCGCTCTCGGACAGCCCGCCGCCAAACTCTCTGTTCAGTTCGGCCTCGATCTCCCGGAGACTTGTCTCAACGGCGGCCATCGACGACCAGTCCGCTTCCTCAAAGTCCTGCATCTGCGCGAGGCGCTCTCGCCGCTCCTTCACACGTCTCTCCTCCACACTCTTCTTGTGCGCCGCAGCCTTCTCCTCCAGCATTTTCTGTCGAAATCGAAACGATCATTATAATCATAATCGGCTAAATAATGATCATGACAAATATTACTATATTTAAATATAATTTCATATTTAATTATATTATTATTGTGATTTTAAATAATGATCATCATACTCGGCTACGACATGCTGTATTTTATGATTTAACGTTTTTCTGAGCCACATTGCTATCGATAAAATGTGTTTAATACGAGTTTGTCATTCACTGGCTTGAATGTATTGTTGATAATGGCCAATTATCCATGTACAAGTATAGGTTTAAAAATTATGTGAAATAATTCGACTATACTGGTGTAATTATATAAGTTAAAGTATATTCATAAAACACACAGGCCAGTTGCCACATGCCCTCGATTTCTTATTAATTATATATACATACTCTGTAGGCTTGCACTCGCTTGTCCCTCTTTCGTACATATGTCACTAGTGCCTACATGAAAATAAGCAAAAATCAATTAACCTTGGCTTGAGCTGTTAGAATGTTTGGATGTGTTTTATAGGAATAAACAGAAAATTCTGGTAAAGACACTCAGTAGTTTTCTTGTGTTAGTATCTTGAACACCTCTATAGTATGCACGACACACCAATGGCAGCTACGTTGCGCCATAGCTCCACTTAAAACCGAAATAAGCCCATCGGCTTTACGTAACGAGAGTACTGACCCGGACTGCTTCGTTGCGTTCCTTCTTCGCACTGTCTCGCAGCTTCTTGTTGTCTTTCTCCATGAGACGGAGGATGCGGCGGTTGGGGGCTTCCCGTATGTCGTACTTCTCCAGCCAGACGTAGGTCTTCGCCGTGAAGTAACTTTGCCAGTACGCGTAGAACACGTGGACGACCTAGAGTGGAATCACCTTTGATTGAAGGTGCGCCGGGAAGTGCATGCCCGCAGCATCTGACTGCCGAATCCATTTTACTGAGGTCAGTTCTCAAGATGCTAATATGAGGAAATTCGATTAATATGTTTACAGGGTACTTCTAAATGCACAACGTGATAAGGTTTGGTTTGACAGAAGAACACACCTTAATATATAAGCAACGTTTGGAAGAAACTGTTTTTTATAGCGAAACTCCTTGCTCAACTTACGTCATCATATGAACTGTGTGAGAAGCCAAAACCAGGAAGAGTTGTTCCTTCTTTTTCGCCCTTGAGAAATGGCTCATCCTCTGCCGCAAGCGTCTCAAACACCGTCCGATAGATTGCATAGAAGCCCTGGTAGAGAAATAACAAGTACATTGTGAGAAAGTTATTGCACTCCCAAGAATAATGGCAAAGAACATTTTGAGAAGCAGTTATTGTTCCATACCAACCGATCTTTAGACTGTTACCTAGGGACTGATCTACAAAACTCCCCAGAATCTGTTTCTGCACTTAAAAAACATAGGCAATAGAATGTTATATTCAAATCATGACAGCACCATTCGAAAGGAAATGGTTACTATGACACCCTACTATCTAGGTATATGTTTTATATTATTTCTTAACAGAGACCAACACAGCTATTTTGATTTAATTTAAATTTATGGAATGAATGCACATTCATTAGATATAGTATAACGGGTATAATAGTTATCATAGGTTTAGCAGCAAATTGAGCAGTTCTTTTTCCACAGCATACAGAACATACATAAATGCACTCTATATACCTGTTCATCATCTCCATAACCACGGAAGCAAGAGGAAGTGAAGTATTGTGACAAATCGAGACTTTCATCCTTGTAATTTGCTAAACCTAGGAATTAAAAACACTGTGAAGTTTAAAAATTCACGCATGCATCGATACGCCGACTCCACTGCTGATAACTTTAATTTATAACAGAATCTCTTTGAAAGAGTTTTCATACCAGCCATAACCAAAGATAATAATAAAACAAGTACAGCTAGTGTAAAAACTGACACTATGGCTTATTACTACAGCAACGCCACCCATTCTACAATACGACAAGCCAAGATTGACGTATAACCTGATGATGCTTTTACCTCCTTTCAAGATGGCCTCCCTGTGCCGATCATACCATGCTCTTTCCTGAGGGTCATATAACGTTTCATAGGCTTGTTGAATCAAGTTAAACTGTATATTACACTCCTCCACATCTTCTGGATTCTTGTCTGGAATAAAATCGTAATTAGCCATTTCAGGTATGGAAGATTTTAGCCTATATATATCTAGACAAAACATCATTGTTAAAAATGCTACAGACGCTATACCACAGAATAACTTGTGAAATACTTACTGAGTTCAAATATTACTTTTAGGAACAATATTGTATTACGGAAGACCAATATGTTTAGTCAAGTTTTATGTTGAATGTTGAATTGCCTAGATGTAAAAGCATGGGTGGAGAAGGGATCAGTTAATGACAACTTGATTTTGGTAGTGATTAGGTGTGATGGTCCTAATTTACTGGCCTCATCTTATATAGCATTATAATCCATTTTACTCTGTCATTTGCACATTATCTCAATGTGTCAACCTAACCTGCAACAACATGCATATCTTGCATGTGCTCTGTTCCCTTTATATTTGTGGCCCTAATAAGTAATGTAAATTTTTAACGGTGTGACACCGTAATAATGACCCAAGGAGGAAAAGGGTGTATTATAACCAAGACATACTGATGCAGAGTTCGAAAGGGTTATAGCCTGGGTATTTGGGAAAAACCTTCCCTAGGATTTCCAATACTATAATTATAAAACACTGAAACTTATTTAAACTTATCAGAATTAAGGAATGCATATTTCATAACTTGGCAAAATGACTCAGAACACATGATCGACTCTCTCAAAAATTAACAACATCACATGCCTATTAATAAAGTGGTTCAAACGTTACCAGAAGAATGGGAAAGAGGAGGACGAGGGTGAGGAGGAGGCTGAGGATGAGAAGAAAGGTGAGAAGATGGTGATGAGGAGGGCAGGGGTAGAAGAGGTAAAGAGGAAGAGGGAGAAGAGGAGGACAATGATGAAGAGGAGGAGAAGGGGCGGGAGCATGAGGAGGAGAAGCAGGATAGGCTTTCCCACCTGGCTCTTTTTTGAGTTTGTGCACAGTGGTAGGCTGTCTCAGTGACACAGACAGTGTCACACGCAGCTAGGGCCTGCATACCTCCCAAAGTGACGCGTCGTTGACCGACCAATCGAAGCGCTCGCAGCTCAGGCACTAAAGCTGATAAATATAAAGCTAAACCCTAATCCTAACCCTTACCAGTAACCATCCACTCACGATAGCCAGCTTAAATAATGCAACCATAAAACATCGCATCAGCTTTAGTGCCTGAGCTGCGAGCGCTCCGATTGGTCGGTCGATGACGCGTCACTTTGGGAGGAGCTGCGAGCGCTCCGATTGGTCGGTCGATGACGCGTCACTTTGGGAGCTGCGAGCGCTCCGATTGGTCGGTCGACGACGCGTCACTTTGGGAGGAGCTGCGAGCGCTCCGATTGGTCGGTCGACGACGCGTCACTTTGGGAGGTATATGCAGGCCCTAGCTGCGAGTGACAGACAGACAGTGTCTGTCACATACATGTGCGGTAGAGCAGAGAAGTATTTCACTATTTGTCATTTGAATGATGTTTGTGCAGAATCATCACGCCATCGAGTAAATAAACTTTAAAACGGTGGTGGTAAATATAATTAGTATTTATTTACAATCATTACATTTTGGAACGCCAAAGCCAGACTCTGGCCCAGAGCACATGAGGCATGACAAAATTGACATGTGTTGTCACACCGACTCACAGTTGACGTTGTGTACAGCCGGTGTCTGTGTAGAATGTGGTAGCCGGTATTGCAACACAGCTGGGCAACAACTAAGCTAGTGCAAATTAATGTGATAACTAAGGTTTAATTACCCAGAATTTCTCACCTGGATGCCACTGTAAGGCTAGTTTTCTATATGACTTCTTGATATCCTGAGCAGATGCATCTCTTTCGACACCAAGAACTTCGTAGTAGCACTTCATTCTTGGCCAGTGACTGACTGACTCGCTGCCAGTGTATGTTTCGGTCCACTGTTGCTGTTTCCGGTAATAAATTGAGTACATTATTCAACGTTCATGTGTTCAGAACGTTCACGTTCTGAAGATGTTTATAAAAAAATGTCGTCACATCGATTGATAATATATGCTACCAAACATAATTTACACGTGCTTATTTATGTGTTCATGGTGTTTATTATCAGACAGTGTGTATTTTTGTCCATCCACCGAGGCGTAGCCGTAGAAAATGTAAAGACACTATATATATCTAATCCTAATACATCATATAAAATGTGTATTATTATTTAGGCAGTGGCTACGGGTACGGTAGCCGTATCTTAATGTCTCGAGGCTACGGGTACGGGAGTCCATTCGCTTTCATACTTAACGAGACAAAGATGGCGGCGGTGGCGCTAGATTTCGAAATAACGCCTTGGGAAATAAATTCACGATTTGAGAGTTTAGATGAGCTAGAACCCTAACCCTAAACCTAACCCTAACCATAACCCTAAACCTAACCCTAACCTTAATCCTAACCCTAACCCTAACGCAAAAAAGGGGCTTGAACGACCGACGGCTACCGTACCTCCAGCCACTGCGTATTATTTATTGGTAATCATATGTATTATATATACATATATATATATATATATATATATATATATATATTGTAGATAGATTAAACACAAGACATCACTTTTTGCTGTTACTCAGAGTTTCACGCTTGCGCGATCATCAGACAACTTTAATGAATAATAAACCTTGTATACATTCCATAATCCATATAAACATGAATAGCGCTATTGTTTTAGTTATCTATTGTTATGTAGTTCTAGTAACTATAGCTCGCGTACGATATATAGTTACTACGTATATATATATATACATATATATATATATATATATATATTATATACGCCTTTGCTCCCAGCCTCCCACTCCTTACAATAAATCTGGGGTAAATTTCAACGTCCTTCACTCGTCCTTAATTTTTGATTATGCCTGTTTTTATTATTTATATTTTAGTTCATGCAAACGGCTTGCTATGCCATGTACGCCCAAACTAACCCAAGCAAGCACGCACGCACACACACAAGAACGTAGGGGCCTACACACATACATATGAGCACGCGCACGCACACACCATCGCGCGCGCGGGTAAAATAAATTAATTAATTGTAACGTTACATTTAAATTTCATGCAAAATATGAATTTTGAATTACACATTAATAATCATTTTTACAATAAAACCTTCATTCGAATGAATATTAAAAATTACATCTTAATTTTACAGTAAATGCAGAAAGAGGACATGAGTATATGGAACTTACATAAAACCAGGAGTTAATAAAGACAAAAATTTGTCTTTATTAACTCCTGATAAAACCTATATAGAACTAACGTTAATGAACCCCAGACCAGGCCTACTCAGTCAGTGTAGCGAACGCAGTCAAGCGTAACATGACGACTGGTATTATACAGGTTAATATGGAACCTATATTTAAAAAAAACCTATGGAACATATATAAAACCTAAATTTTTACAATTATTATAAAATAATAGTTTATTTGAATGTATTTCGGAAAAGCAAATTCGTCCAATCTTAATTTTACAAATGTTGAATTCACAAAACTGCAATAACATTTTTTTAAATCATTAGGGTTAATATGAAGGCAACGGCGACCAGAGACGCGTGCGCTATTTCCCATGTACATTATTAGCCTAGGAAACGCTTACGGTTGGATGCTGCGGCCAAAGTGAAATTTTTAGATCGGACTTTACCGTGATATCTCTTGAGCATACATATATATATATATATGAGCATCTCTTGCGAGCATGCCCCTGCTCATTTTGAGCTCATAACAACGGCCGAAGAAAATTATCGTCACTGTCAACGGCGACCAGCGACGCGAGCCCCATTCTTCTTGCACATTAACATAGGGGACGTGTTGTAGCGGGATGCTGTGACCAAAGTGAAATTTGTAGATCGGATTATACAATGTACACCTTTCGCGGGTTAAGTGCTTGTGTGTCTGTGAAACATTCGATGGCAGGTCTATCAACGCACAAAAATCCGTAATATGCTCAATGCTGAATGTAGCAAATAACGAAATATATATGTTCATATATTTTACAATGGCAGATCCAAACACTTACAAAGATACATTACATTCTTCGTCATTTACGGCTATCACAGCTGTCGCTGGTGTAATTAAAAAAAAAACTAGTATCATTCTTCCGAGCAATATATAATCCATTAATATACTACATTAGAAATATATTATAATACAACATTTGGTAATGTGTAACCATTTGGTAACTGTTTCGCGTGACATACGTAGCTATATGCAGAAATAATGTTATAGGCTGAGTTAGTAGAAATATAAAATACGACTCTATACTACATATTTATTCTCACAGTGAGAAATATAGAGAAATTTGTAACAAAAAGATATTACACATAGGCCTATGGTCCTCACATTCAGGGAGCACGGTTGTAGTATTTTATTTAAAAAGAACACTTCATAAACAACAGCCAATATTTCGACCGCGGGTGCAACAATGCGTAAAACTCATATATACTTGTACCGCAAGGCAGTTCTCTTGTATCTCTCCTCGCGTGTCTATCTTTGCAATAAGTATTGGTTTAGCGATCATCCAATATCGATAATAACGTATAACAGGGTTTAAATAATGAACAATTGACAATAATGAAAATGTTGCCATTATTAACCCCTGATAATAATTATGGGAAATCGATACTATCCATATATCGATATTTATATTTTTAGCTATCGATTCGAATGGTAACCTGTGGAGCGATAACGGCGATTCTACAGGTGTTGAACAACAGTAGAGGGCGTCCATATAGGCTGCAGGCCTGAATAAGCATCGAACAGAAATTAATTAAAAATACTCGCACTGTTACTGCACTTACAAAACATGCACTTTATTCATGTTAAATAACTACAGATTCATGCTCTATGCTCCGCTCGAAACTTTTGCCAGCTCTATGATGCGAATTTCTGCAAAGTTGTCTGAACACATTTCATACACAAAAAACACCAACCGATGACTGTGGCTACGCCACCTGACGGAATGTCACGAATACACAACAAAAATAATTTTACTTCTAAGGCTTTCTCGACGTCCACGAGGCATCCAACTTGCGTGCGTAATGCTAATTATTGCACTCTAGTGCCGAATTTCGGCGAAAAAAAATGCCAAAAAAGGCCTTTTCTACAGACGAAATAGTGCATATAAGCTTACTGTTATATGCCTCTTACAGCAACCCGATTTCGTTCGTATGCATAAGATCGGTGTCCCGATTAAAAATAGGCGCAGATTCGTCCGTGAAACTATTAAGGCCAATACGCAGGCCGGCAGCTGGCAAACTCAGGAAGGACCTGCGTGCAGAAATGTTGAATCTGTAACGGGTCCCTCGCGAGCAGCGAGCTGAGTTTATACGGATGAAACGCGTGATAGCGAAGACTCTCCTCCCAGCGAGTCCACGGAGCGTCGTCTGTTCTATTCGGCCCCCACAAAAACATATGCTTCACCTTCTGTAAGCTTTCCCGCTCGTCCAGGCAGCGCATGATCGTCGGTACGGCGAGACCTACGAACACCACCTCGTCTCTAAACACGGTCGCCAGCGCGGCAAAGTCGTCGGCGAGCCGCCGCGGGATGTAGTAGACGTCGGATACTTTGTAGTTGACTCGGTACTCTCCTTTGTTCAGCGCGACGAGGTTGCGGTAGCAGCGGTTAAGCACGCTTGTCGACGGCGCCGATTTCAAGCGATCGAGCGTTCGGGTTAACTGCTTACGATAGATTCGCAGCCACTTATGCTTGTGCGATATGTCGCACGTGTCGTCGTTCGCATGCCAGCGACACAACTTCCCCAGCCGCACGTCGGCGACCTGTCGCGACGCATCCTCGAAGATCATCGCCGACCTATTGAAGTTGGCCCACTGCCGAATGTTCATTCGCACGTCGTCGTTGATGAGCAGGTATCCGGAGACGTTGTAGCGCATGCGCACGGCGCCCATCATGCATTCGTAGCCGTAATGGCCGTGTGGTCCGATGTTCGGGATTGCGTAGAACGAGTATTTTACGTCGCCGAAGACCGTGCGGTTGTGTGTGTCCGGTAGGAACTCACCACAATAGAGAATGTTCGGGAAGTTTGGCCGGTACATGACCTCGAGAAGCGGTATGACGTCGGCGTGATTGTCATTGAAGAGCACGACGAGTAAGATGTCGTCGAAGAGTAAATCCGTCGCCGACGCCGTAGCCGCCGACGACACCGCAGCCGACGACGCAGCAGACAACGGCCGTCGTACGAATGTCGGGCAGATGTCGCGCTGTAGCGCTGCGATCGCGGCCTCGTTCTGAAGAACTCTCGTCGGCGTCGGCGCGTGCACGAGCGACGTCGGCTGCGGGATCGGTTCGAACTGCAGCTCGGCTCCGTTGATCTCCTCGTGCGAGCAGGTGCGTGCGAACACCGCCTCCTCGTCGTCGTTTCCTCCTCTGCGCAGCGTAGCCAACACCGCCTCCTTCTCGTCGTCGTTGTCGTCGGCGGCGGCTGCTGCGGCGGCGGCTTTGCGCAGCGTGGCAGGTGGCGTGTAGCCGACACGTCTGAGATCGTCTATCCAAGCTCTCGCTAGCAGAGCGTCTTCTATCTGCAGTAGATCGTGTCGCACCATCTCGTCTGTAAGCTCGATCATGCAGGCGTACAGATCGTCGGCCGTGCAGCGGTAGTGTCGCAGAAGATCGACAAGTTGATTGCTTCTGTGGTAGAGATCATTTTCGTCGGCGGCGTCGGTCATGTACGAATGCGAGTTCCGGTGCTGGAAGCTCGTCGGTCCGAAGAAAGCAAGATGGCCGCCGGTTTCCCACAGAAGTCTCTGCGTCGAGTATCCCCGCCAGATGTCGCACACTCGCGATGTGGTCGTGACGGGAAGCAGAAGGCCCCAGAACGCCGCGCGGTGGAACAACGTGTTCTGCGAATTGAACGGCGAGAACGTGCCGGGAGAGAGAACAACGGGCGGCGCTGTTCCGTCGAACGTTAAGTTCAAACGTTCGCCGACGTTCTTCCGCGTCAATCTAAACATGGCGTCTACATCCGGGTCTCCGTTGACGATTCCCTGCTGGATGGCGGGCGTCTTAAACTCGCAGACGACGTATTTCGGCGTTCGGCTCAATCCGATTTTATTTAACGGATACCCTCGCGGCCAGATCGTCGGCTGTCCGAAGTGTGCGTACGGATTAGTGAAGCTAGACGCGCTACCACCTTTATCCTGTCCGGCGACTAGTCCCGTCATACGTGGTTCGTATACGAAGCTCGCCAGGTTGTCCGTCGGGTGGTTGTCGTCGTCGGTGTCGAATATAAATTTGGCACCATGCTGCAAGTAATGAATAAGCAGTATTTTAAATTTCGTTCTTACGTTTGTTTGCACATAAGAGCATTTTTGTATTAATACATGTTAGACAAAACGCAAAGAAACGCTATCTCGGACTTATGACGATGTGCTTATATTGACAAAAAATATTATTTTCTCTCTCTCTCTCTCTCTCTCAATCTCTCTCTGTGTGTGTGTGTGTGTGTGTGTGTGTGTGTGTGTGTGTGTGTGTGTGTGTGTGTGTGTGTGTGTGTGTGTGTGTGTGTGTGTGTGTATGGTGTTAGTTTCATTTCTCGCTCTGGTCCCTCTGTCTCTCGCTCTGTCTCTCTCTCTCTCTCATCTTCTTATCTCTCTCTCTCTCTCTCTCTCGCTCTCTCTCTCCCTCGTCTTCCTATTCTTACTACTTCCTGCTGAATATACGATAGAGACAGAGTTTGGCTGGAGATACCTCGCCAGATTATCTTTACCTCCCGAGCAACTCCAACGTAATTGGTAACGTCGCTGACCGAGTAGATTTTGAGCACTTGTTATAGTATGGCACGAAGAGTCGTTTCGTATTATAGCGGTACTACAGTATATGTACGCGCGAGGTAAACTATATCGATATGGTTTAGGCGTTGGGGAGGTTAAGGTTAGGGTTAGGGTTAGGTTTAGGGTTATAGGGAGTAGGCGTAGGCGACCTAGGTACCCTATACGACAACGACCCCTTCAGCGTTAATATGCGCCAATTCACCGTGCTCACCTGTATTGCATAGAGATATCCGCCTTCTTTCGGGAATAACTGTTTCCACGGGAGCCTCTCTAATATTCCATAACCTAACGATTTTTGTCGCTCTGGGCTCAAATAGATGCAGTTCGGGTGACTACAAGCAGAAGGTTTGATTCAAATTATAATTACGTTAAATGTCAGTATTTCATAATACGGACATTATTCAATCTCATTTTGAATATAAATGTCATAAGGACAATACCTCAGAGATAACATTATGATAGTAATATATATTAGTCGTGTGTGAGTGGTGTGTGTGTGTGTTGTGTGTGTGTGCTTTTTGATGTGTGTGTGTGTGTGTTGTGTAGTGTAGTGAATGAATGGTGTGTGTGTGTTTGCGTGTGTGTGTGTGTGTGTGTGTGCATGCGTGCGTGCGTGTGTGCGTGCCTGCGTGTGTGTGTGCATGCGTTCGTGCGTGTGTGTGTGTGTATCAAGCACATCTTAAGTATATATTAGTATATTAGAATATCAAGTATATATTTGCTATACATGCCTTACATACGCGCACACAGTATATACAACATACCTCCAGTTTGCCGGCGTTTTCTTGTCTCCGACAATGACCACCTTCCAATCGGGCATCGACGCCAGTCTGCTAATATCCTTCGTGGGACGATTAATCGACGTCACGACGACCCATCGCTCCGAATGAACATCCGGGTCAGCCATCCGCAGCGCGTCCGCCGACTTCCGTCGGTCAGCATCGACATGCTGCGCATGCGCAGCGGCAGTCACGTCGGCGTTCATCAGCACGCGACCTTTGTTTGACCCCGACGAGCCGACGTTCAGTCGCTGGAGACTGAATCTGCTCGCCGCCGACGCATTGACGACGTCGCGTCGCTGCGTCTCGTTGAAGAAGAACGCGACTCTCTTTTGTCCGTCGCGTTTACTCGCCGACGGACGGAGGGAGCGATTGTCGTCGCGTACCTGCACGGCGTAGTTGAGGTAGTTGGGCACGCCGCCGTTGTATCTCGATCTCGCTCGCGTGCCGCTACCGTCGGCGACGGCGGAGGCGGACACCCGGGGAGTAACGCGCACGATGCTAGCGTATCGGTCGACCCCGTATCGTAACGTATCGTGTGCGGTTGGCGGCATCGGACGCCGGATCGCGAGTTTGCGGTAATATGCGTAGGAGCGCTCGCTGGTCGCGTCGAGGTCGCCTAGATCCTCGTCCGTTTTGTTGGCGATCTGACGCAGGAGTTCTTCGGGGACGGTCACGGTGGCTCCCGGTTCGCTAGTGTCGCCATCTCTCGGCAGCGACGGTAGTTTTAGGCTGCGCATCGCTTCCGCCTTTAGCATGGACCATTGCTGCGCTGTGGTTCTGCCTGCTAGGTAATTCGCTTGGCGTGGTGGTTCAGTCTGATATGAAGACGGAAATGTACATTTGAAAATAGGAACGGGAAAAGCGGAAAGTGGAACGGGAATTATGTTTAGGAGAGGGAATTTTTCTTAGCCCACCGTAATAAATTCCGCATGAATTATATGCTTAGAAAAGATAATATATCCATCTATAATATAATAGTAGAAAGAGTGTGTGTGTGTGTGTGTGTGTGTGTGTGTGTGTGTGTGTGTGTGTGTGTGT